TCGGACGTTACCTCCGGGCATACTGTCACGACGACCAACACAGCTGGAGCCGTTTCTTCCCTTGGGCCGAGTATGCACAGAATTCCACAGAATTCCCTGATTCCCTGATATTTCATTACACCAAATACACAAAATAATGTTATTTTTAGCAACGTCATATGACCTCTTTAAGGAAAGCGTTTGCAAACTAGGGCTGATATTACTTTCGGTTCACCCATCACACTAGAGATGGAAGAGTCAAACTCATTGCATTGTGGGATTTATTGCTGTTTTGAACATAGCCAGTGTAGTAACATCACCTTCTAGCTACATAAAAAAGAGTGCCTTGTGGCTGTGTTTAAAAGTATGTATTTCACATAGAAAACATGTTTTTGTAACTTGATTTTAAGTTACAATTATTAGGCAAACATTATCACTCAATCATGAATTTTTATATTCATGTAATGTAATATTACTCCAAAAAGAAGAAGAAAAAAAAAACGTTCACAGTTGGCAGCACGGTTGCCAGAGTTTTAACACAACATCTTGGCTGCATAAGCAGGTTAATGTACTTTGTAAATGAGACGATAACAAACTTTTATTGGCACCAAATTAGCATGCATTTTATGAAAAATATAAGTTCAGTGTATGTTTGGAAATTCGCCAAGTCTTCAATTTGGCGCCTGATGGTGTTCCATTACACTGACAAATGTGATTTTGTTTTGTCAATTTTAGTGTGCTGCGGAAGCAGGCTAATGTAGTTTTTAAATGAGATAAAACCATAATGCTGCCACCAGATGAATTAGCCTCTTATGTAAAAAATCATAGATCCAATGTAAGAATTTAAAATATTCCAGTCTAAGCCTTCACTTTGGTATCTTTGTTGTTCATCACTGACAAATGGTACTTTACAGTGAAATGAACTGGAAGTATTGCTGTGATGGTGTTCAACAGCTTGTATTTTGTCGTCAGCTTGTAAAGTTTCAGAACCAGAAGCACACAGACAAAAGGTAAGCTTCCACAATTATGAAAAGACTTATTGGGTTTGAGAAATAAGTATACCTCTCTCTCTCTCTCTCTCTGTTTGATGATGGGGTGATTTCTTTTCTGTGTGTGGATTGGTGAGCTCAGCGAGTTTGTTTCTGTGGGCCTAATCCCCCCATGCTGGGCGCCAGCCTATAAAAGGGACACGTTTGCTTTCAATTCACACGCTGACACGCTGATTGAGACAGAGAGCGGCTACTGACTAACACACAGGTAAGAGACTGGGGTCTGTGAGCAAAAACAAACTGGGAGAGAGTTGATCCCACATTTTATCTGGTTGCATAGTTTACAGCAAGGAAACCCCAGCATGGGCTTGTGTAAGAATATCTCTAACAGCTTCGACACATTAGTCACCGGTAGAAGGCAATTAAAATGTAATCCTTTTGTGAGCACAGCACTTTATTCATCGTCTGGGTGAACTGTAACCTTTTTGTCACAACAGAAAAATGAATACAGAAAAGAAAAAAAAGCTGTGGATATGAAGACAGAGAGAGATAGGGCGAATTAAAGGAGGTTTGTTAAATAAAATATAAAAATGCAGTACAAAATGATGTGGGGTTTTTTTTGTTTATTGAACACACAGTATCCAATTTAAATTACTGTTAATTCCTTCTTGGGGTGGGTGTTATTTTAATTTAAAAGGGTTACGTTTGAAGCCTTGTGAGAATCTGGGGCCAGGCTAATTTAATATCTTACGCAAATATTTTGAAGAAGTAGCAAGAATTGTATTATTTGGCTTAAACTACATTATAATGTACCCTTTTTGTGATATATTTGTAAATTAGTCATCTTGGGCAAATTGTTACGTATGAGCATTGCACGTCTGTAACACTATTGTGTAAGTGTTTCAAAGTAAGTGGGTGAAGAATTCATTCAAGGGCTATAAATGTACTCGATTTGTTGGAATGGGATTCATTACTTGCTTTGAGCAATATTTAGCACTTCACATCATCACTACATGTCAATAGATATTTCCATCAAGAAGGCTGCTAATTATTCACGTTTCTCCACTCATGCATATGCTCTCTTGTTGTAGTCATCATGTCCACTGGTGGAGAGAAGTCCAAGCCTGCCTCCCAGACTGATGGGAAGGCTGCTCAAACTCAGAAGAGAACCGAGATGGGCATGGGAAACTACAAGGTACTTACTAGTACCATATTTACAGATGCAAAAAAGTTGCATATGATGACTGATGAAAGGTACATGATGGCAAACAGCTGTGTGAAACTGAGTATCAATTCAGTTTCCATAGAAATAGATGTGGGAGTTGTACATATGCTTTATTTTTAAGCTAAGCTAAACTAAAAACGGACAACTTTAATTTATAGTTGCATAACAAGCAAAACTGACCTGATGTTCTTCTCCTTTTTTCTCTCTCAGATGTATGTGTATGATCAGGAGAACTTTCAGGGCCGCATGATCGAGATCTCCAATGAGTGCATGAACGTGTGTGAAATGGGCATGGATAGAGTGTGTTCCCTCCGCGTGGAGTGCGGCCCGTGAGTTTTCCTGTGATACATATGAGTGACTTACCAAATGTTCTGTATTTCAATACTTCCTCCATTTTCTCTATCCGTTTTCTTTTATTTAGTTGGGTGGGTTGGGAGCAGATGAACTTCTGTGGAGAGATGTACATCTTGGAGAAGGGTGAGTACCCCCGCTGGGACTGCTGGAGCAACTGCCACAGGAATGACTACCTGCTGTCCTTCAGACCTGTCAGAATGGTATTCATCCCTTTTATTCATTACACACATACAGCATTATCATTAAAACCTTATTCATTGAGTCATGGTGCTGATTCAGGAATGCGAGTTTAATTCCTGTTCCCAGCCTGTCCCTACCTTGGCTAAAGATAAACTGAAAAAAAAAAAAGAAATCATATGCATTTATTAATGAAATTATACCTTGATCTTCTCTTGTTTGTGCTCCTCACAGGACCCAGAAAAGCATAAGATCTGTCTGTATGAAGTAGGTGATTTCAAGGGTCGTAAGATGGAGATTATCGATGACGATGTTCCCAGTATGTACACCTTCGGCTTTACCGACCGTGTCGGCAGCATCATGGTCAGCTGTGGCACGTAAGTGGTCTCTCATCAAAGAAATCGGAGTAGATTGTGATATCTGAACATAAAAGTGATAACTCAGCATAAAAAATACATCTGATAGGAGAGAAATTTGAAGTCTGTGATCTTCCTAAATCCACTGAGTTTAAAACTGATATTTGTAGTTTTTTGTGTTAAAACACTTTCTTGTAGGTTCCGAAAAGCGTAGGCAGCCACGAATGAGCCACTAATTCTCCAAAACATAAAATAGTTATGAATTACCATGAGACTGTGTTGGTGGACTAATGGCAGACTTTCTGGAAACCAGTTTGAAAACAATAATTATTTTTGTCTTGCATGCATTACACACTTAACCTCGATATTGTATTAAAACTCCTAATATCAAACGTTAAAATACGAATAATTCAGATTTTATACCACACTAACTATTCTATGAGGAGGTGATTTCGTATTAATTCATACAATAGGAATCGTATGAAAACGTATGATTTAAAAAAAAAAAAAGCAAATGAAGGGGTCCCCTAAACATAACCGTCATTGTGGTGTAAACAGATCATACAAATGAAATTGAACGAATTCATACAAATTAGCCACCAATTTGCCAAAACGTAGAATACTTACGAATTACCATGAGATGGTGTTTGGCCGACTAATGGCCGACTTTCTGGAAACCTGTTTGAAAGCAGTCATTACTTTTGTCTTACATTGCACACTTCAGTTTTAATTTTCATTATTACTCAACCTAGATAAACTAACAGCATTAATGCTACTAAGATTTCAATAAAATCAATAAAAGTTTTCATAAAATAGAACTGAAAGGAGGCTCTTCTTCATTCTCAATTCTGTACTTCAGTTTTATTCATTCTCTATGTTTGTTTGTCTTTCCTCTCATTTCTTGTTTTAGTTGGGTAGGCTACCAGTATCCTGGTTACCGTGGCAGCCAGTACCTGCTGGAGAAGAGCGACTACCGTCACTTTAATGAGTATGGTGCTCGTCATCCCCAGTTTCAGTCCGTCAGGCGCATCCGTGACATGCAGTGGCACCCAGATGGCTGCTACACTATGGCCACCAAGTGAGGGCTAGGGAAAGAGCGCACCACCCGTATGAGTCATCCTGGGAAGGGAAAGAAGGAGAGAGGGATGGAGGTCAGTCAGACAAAACGTCACAATAGAAAATGTGGCTGTTGATATCAGATGAAAGCATGGCTTTTTCTTCCCCACCCCTCTTTATTCTCTCTTACTCTTCACTTCTTCTCCCATCTTCTTTCTTCCCTCTTCCTCCTCTTCCTCATCCTCCATTCATTTTTCCCCTGAGGAGATCAGTCCATCACGAAGAGCCTTAACTGATGCCTGACTCGTGGGGGTCAGGGATAATGATCGACAAGGGTGGGTTGGGGGGGTAACGGTTGGCAGAGGGAGGGGTGTTTTGGCCTAAAGGCCATGTAAAACCTCCACATCTTTTTGGAATGGTAATAAAAGCGACACCTGTGACCATTGTTGCTTGTTATCACTGCTGATTATCTGTGTCCATGCAGGCTTTTTATTTTTACCATCAGTATGTCAGGCCTCTCATATCACCACATTTCCAAAAATTCAATCCACTATCTAATACCTTTAAGAGAAAGACATGGACCAAATGCTAACATTAATTACGCATTATATCACTAAAGGGGTAATATAATAAAAAGTCCTCGATCTTTTAGAATTAAAGCTTTCATACTATGAAATCTGAACGGCAAAATGGCAAAAGTTGGTATATACTGATAATAGCATGAAAGTTACAGGAATATTATAATTAACTAAAACTAAAACCAAAACCATTAAAAACAATTGTTACTTAAAAATAAAAATAAACTTTAACTGAAATTAAATGAATAAATAAATAAAAAACTTTAAAAGATCATTTCAGCTACATTTCTCATTTTCATTTAATGCAACTTGATGAACTAAAATAACTAAAAACCAACACTGAAATAAAATGACTAAAACATATAGATATATTAAAAATGTGTAACTATTTTAAGTTTGGGCATTTTTGACTCTGTTCGAATACTGTAACAAGTATAACATATTTCTGTCGTTACAGGTAATTTTTTTTTTTTTTTTTTTTTTTTTTTACAGTATTTTTAGAGGTGGCATAAAAGCAATCCCATAACTGACCTTAATAATAAACAATACTAAACAAACAAAATGTGGTAACGTTTAAATCACTAATAATTAAAAAATAGGCACATAATGCACACTGAGTATCTTTAGCTACACGTTGTCGTGTGCAAGATAGAATTATATGCTTTAAAAGTACATATTAATACCTAAAGAATAAATTTTTTGTACTTTTATTTCTGAGAGTGCAGCTAAATAATTTAAAATAAAATAATTTATATTTTTAGAGAAATGTTACATATGCTTTACGTATTAAAGGTATAGCCATCAAAGAAAAAAAATTATAAAAAATATAAAGTAAAAATAAAATAGCCTGTTTAAGCCAAAGGGTCAGTGAGAATATGGTCATAAAAACTACATTTTGTCTGTTTTGATGAAGAAAAATAACTAAATAACTAAATTACTAAAAGACTAAATTATAGCATAAATTACACAAGCTGACTATGTGCTGTCCGTGTGCTGAATATAAATCAGTGTTTGTTTTGTCTGTCAGTTCTATGGAATTTCATTGCATTAAAAAATGATGCTAGGACAGATAGGCTTCTGTCATCATAAACAGAATGATTGTGGGTTCATATAACACCTGACCAATTTCTTCATACACATACATGAATATATATTATCCTATTAATATCCATGAATATATATTTTCCTTATATTATCCTGTTTCTAAACCTTCCTGAATTAATTAATAATTTATTTGAAATTGATGTCATGCGTCCCACATAAGGCCAAAACTCACACAAATGCATTTAAGATTCAACCCAGCTGCATACAAAATCCAGCCTTTTCATTGACGTCAGTCACCCCGAGGCCTCATTCACGTAAACATCTACACACTCACACGCCAAAGACCTTGGGAATCTAGTAACTCCATATCCTAAGTGTGTGATCATCCCATCTCTCACACTCTTTTCATCCTCACACTCGGAGAGGTAATGAAGAGAAGACAGAGCATGATTTGGGACACAGGCTGGAGTGATTTAGAGGGAAGATAGGCTCAGAGGGATTCTGAGCTACAGTAATTGAATTTCGCTCTTGTAGTACCACACAACCACCACAAGAAGGTACTAACAATTGTGTTTTGTCAGTCACTTATTTTTCTTATTCTTATGCTTGTTTCACACATTTTTCTGCACTTTTCTATGGAAAATAAATGTAGTTGCTTCATATTCACAACATTCAAGAAATACGTCATGATGACGTCAACAACACCATGGTTTCACATCTACACACACATACAGTGCAGTTGTGTCCTTAAGGATCTATATTTCTACCTGATCTGACTTTTAAAAATACTTTATTAGTGTAACCTAATATAGTTCAGTTATTTAGAATCATATTAATGATCAGTTAAATTAGATTAGCACATTAGTTTACCTGAGAAAACCCTTTTACAGCACAATATCCTCTTTCACTAATGGATTTCTGTATTCCATTTAAACACACACACACACACACAAATCTACAGAGATGTCCTTTGCCGTTTCATCTCTCTGCTTCTGAACCACAAGCTTACACAGTTACAGGAATAGCTGTGTGTGTGTGTGTGTGTGTGTGTGTGTGTGTAGCAGATCCCTTTCTTGCGTCACTGCTGTGTTGTGAGTTAGCCGGGGGAGAAGCGGTTCTTTTTCTGGAACTTCCTAAAAAGTCTTTCCGCCGAGAGTGATGTAAGCTATTTGTCTCAGTGTTTAACAAACGAGTGGGTGTGAACCTATCAGTAAGATAGAGAGAGTTAGAGAGAAAGTGACAGAGAGATAGTGGAGAACAGGCAAAGGGTGAAGACACCTACAAAGCTGCATATTTATCTTACATACTGTACACTGTAAAAAAAAATGTGCAGGTGTTACCTTGAGGAGCCGTTTCTACCTGATCTGACTCTTAAAAAGGACTTTTTTGGTGTCTACCGAATGGTTGATTCAGTGATACTAGATCGTATATTTTAATAAAACCAATTAATTTAGATGTTACCTGACAAACGTTTTAAGAATGCACTTGTCAGTCACATATCTGATGCATTCAGTTGTAAATTTCATGGATTTTCATCTTCCATTATTATCAAGCACTTTGTTCTCCCTCTGTCTCCTCTCTTTGCCACAGCTTGTCCCTGTTTTGCCAGCCTCCCTCTCTCTTTCTCTCATTCTGGCTGATGGTGTCAGTGCTGCATGTGGATCTGCGTCATCGGTGAGTGGTGTCTGATTGACTGGGTTAAAAATAAAGAGCAGAGAGGGGTGAGAGTGTGTGTGTGTGTGTGTGTGTGTGTGTGTGTGTGTGTATGTGTGTGTGAGTGCATGAGGCTGAGAGGCCAGAAACTGCGTTGGGATGCTGGGGCAAATCTGAGGAATCTGGGGGAAGAGCCATATGTGAATACAGGGTATTTTTAGCAGGAAAAAATGAGTTAGTGTTAGATAGGTGTAAAAGTGGAAAGAGGAAGATATATGATATTCAACATCTCTATTGGGAAAAATATTTATATGAAGCTTTAATCTGTTGGAAATGAAAACATCAGAAAACGTGGAAAGAGGATAAATGGAAGATGTGTAAACGTGCTGAATATGAGCAAGGTTATCATTTTACTTAAGTGTTATTTTAGTATTATGAATATACTGTTGTAGTTTTTGTTAATATTTAAGTATATTTTATTTTTTTATTTTTGGTTTTCACTTTAATTTTAGTTAAAGTTTTAGTAATTTTGTTGTGTTTTTGTCTTTTATTTCAATATATAATTTTATTACTTTTATTAGTTTTAGTTTTAGTTATTTTAGTACTTAAGTTAAACTAATAGCTGAAACAAAATAAAGGTTTTTAATTTGATTTCAGTTAACGTTTATTTTGATATATTTTAATAATGAATAATTTAAGTAATGACATTTTTTATCGTTTTAGTTTTAGTGAATGATAATAACCACATAATCACATATGTTTGCAAATGTGGTTTTACATTTATTCATTTAGAAAATGCTTTTATCCACAGCAACAAATCGGAATTGCATGCAAAAGAAATAAACCAAGGAGGTGACAAAATATAAGTCATTTTACAATGTCAAAATTCCTGCAAGAACCAGTGGTAGTGTAGAAGTGTGAGCAAAAAGGTTGTGCAAAAAGGCAAGTTGGTTTATAGGGTATATGTCGAACATCACCTGACCAAACCCGGAAAACAGGTCTCATTGCTTCCGCTTGTCGGAGAACGTGTTAACAGCCGTATTAAATAATAGCGATATCTATGGACTTTTAGGATAATCAGTTAAGCTAGCTAGCTGTTTTTATTGTTGACGTTTTATTCAATTTTTAAATGTGAAAAGAATAAAAATAAAAAAAACTTTTAGATATCAGTCCGCATATGTGACGGACATTGGTTATGATCATCATTGGTATCTGCTTTGAAGGCATCTTGAGTAAAACTGCTTCATATTTAACTAAGCATATGCAAAACGCTTGAACCGGAAGCGACGAGACCCGGTTAACAGAATACGGAAGTCTGTTGCGCATAACCCCTATTGTATGCTGCTGAAAGAGGTGTTTTCAGGGGTTTAGGCTGCATCTGAAAGCTTACTTGTTGCTGCTGAGAAGACATTAGCTAAAGGCTGTGACACACCAAACCGACATCAAAGAACTAGCAGCCATTTGTGCTTGAACACTGCGAAGACTACAAATAGCACGTACACTCTGCACCTGTGTGAGATGAAATAAGTGTCTATATCAGGAGGTGGCAGCAATCTAATATTCATCATTCAAAAAGGGAAACCAAATGCATATAAACAAACTGTAAGCAAAGCTTGCATACCATTTTGCATATGAATCTTGTTGATCAGTTGGTCTTCACTTTCTTCATTCTAGGCGGCCATGTTGTTAAGAAAATTTTTCCATATTAGAATGCTCAGGTAAGATGAAGATGTAAAATTAGAAGAGCAATATGTGACCTCTTGACTTTGCTTTTTGCTTGCTTTCTTTACTTTTCTTCACATGCAATCATCAGCTAAGCTAAACAGGCAATCAACAAACTGCCTGAAACCATTTCACCACAAAAGCAAAGCTGACAGACGCTCAACAACAGCCCGGAATTGGCCGATAGCCGACCGTAGGCTTGGTGTGTCACATCCTTTAGCCAGTGACTTCTCAGGCAGTAAGTAGTACAACAGAAGTTGAGAAAAACAACAACAACTGGCAATCCCTACATTTATACACAAACTGAATGGCAGCTGCAACTTTCAGATGCCATTGTTTGAGTTATGCTCAAATGTCATTGAATTGCATGCACAGGACAGTGGATATCATAGGATACCATCTATGCCTTAAAAAAATAATCAGAAGAAAGTATGGTAACACTTTAAGG